TTGTTCAGAGGCACCAGGCACTGTTGATGACAGCACGAAACAGCTGTCCAGTGCTCTTTGTCGGTTATCACAAACATTTCCACCGCATTTAAATGCATTCCAATCGTGAGGAATTAACGACCTCCCAAGACTGAAACCCACACCGAACATCATCATCAACAGTGCCTGGTGCCTGTGGAAAACCGAATGGGATACTCCAAACACTGATCATCTAAATCACAAGGAGCTTTTTCCACTCCAAACGGGAGTAATGTTCAGCACGATTCACTGAACACTGCAAGATGGGAGAAGTGCAAACGTGAAAATTTAATGGATGGAAACGCGAATACTTCTGTTTCTTGCTCGTCGTTAGTAGATGAAAGATTAATTAAAATGTGCACCAGATAAGGAACAGTGAGGGAACCGCAAGCAAACACATTACTATCACCCTCCACTAGGTGGGGGGGGGGGATAAATGTGAACCAAGAATCGCACTGATCCACAGAAATAATCGGGGATAAGATTATAGACAGTGTCTCGGCACCGTTCGATCTTCTTATGCGAAGTTGGATATCTAGCATTTACTCATTCGAAAGCAACCTGAAAGTTGTTTCAGAGAAACTGGTTGATTCCTTTACGTATGATTGAAAGACTCATCTTGTTGGACAATTTCTTATTGGTGGTAGCTTCATTTAGTTACTGTACCGCCCTTACACTCATGTGGTATTTCAAAGGGATGTCGCATATCACATTCAGGACACAGCCGCTTATTCAGTGCTGCTGAACTCGCTTTAGTCATGTCAGGTCATCCATTTGGTTCCGCTGTCCGCGATCAAAGGACGCGCCAAATAGTATGCAACTCTGTGTACAGCTGTTCGAGAACGAAAATGCTTAAAGTGAAATCTGGTAGTGACTGAGGGTTGGAAGAAGCTGTTTTTATGAGCAGTATTCGGGGTGGAACTGTGACAAGTTCACACACACACACACACACACACACACACACACACACACACACACACACATATATATATATATATACTACTTTTCGGGTACAGTAGGAAAACAAAAGTTTATATCAACTAAATGTTCGACAACTCTCCACCGTAGATATTCTTCTTATCTAGTCGGTGATGCCCCGGTCACGTTGTCGTGCAATTAAACAAACTCACGACATCCACCCCATTCGTTTGTTATATGGTAATGAGTTCAGAAAAAAATATTTGCGGTCCACTTTAAATAGACTCACCACGAAAACAAGCGAGTTACGTAAACTGTTTCGCTGTTTTCGTGTTCCTTTGTTTCATAGGAGCACATTGCGGCAAAAGACCTTTCTGTTTTTCGCATTCATGACTCATTGCGTTTTATGGACTGTAACTGTATAAACGCAATCAGTAGAAGTCAAATTGTATCACCATTATTATTGTTCATGGACGTTTGAGCCTGAACAACATACAATTCAACTCCAAAAGCTTGTTCTCGCTTTCAGCACCAGGTTATTGTTACGCGATCTTATTCGTGCATTCCCTTCGCACCGCTCAATTGTCCGGTAAATATTCTGTCCGATTTTTTAGACTTGGTTGTTGCAAAATGTGTAAAATAAATCAACCAGCCAATTGTGAAGAGATCAGGAAGAATCAATTTATCTTGAATTCGCTGATTAAAGCAAAACAATCATTTTTACCCACTGCACTCCTCGGATATGATGACGCCGGAACACGTTTTAGAAAAATTCGAGCATGTTCTCTATCTCACACACACAACCGTATGGAAACAGACGCAGGGTGGCTTAACTGTTTGCATCGTTATTTCACGGATTTTTGAATATAGTACACCGTGTTCGTCATATGTACTGCTTACTGTTCCATCCTATTATTACGATTGATCATTGGGGAGAAAATATTGTCAAAATGTTATCGCGGAGGACTTTTTCGTTGCTTCATTGCGCACATAACCATGGTGGATGGTCTAAGAACAAAAGCATACAAAAGTTGCACATAATGCCGTCCTTGAATGTATTGTCCATATAAGCCCGCTTATTCTCAAGTAGAAACAATCTGTCAACAGATCAAAGCCAGCTTATAAACGTGCCCAACATGTTATAAGGTCCCCGTTTGGAACTCGGAACAGGTTGTTACACATGTTACATCCGACAGAGAGAGTGAAATTGAAGTCAGTTATTTCCCGAACCCAACAGGGTTGTAAGCGAAGATTGAAACAGAAATTTGGCAATTAGAAATAAAATAAACACTCAATCGGGTGATGGTGATGGTGGTGTTTGTGCTCAAGTTCGAATAAAAAGCCTTGGATATTGTGCTGTTGAATCGTAGTATCGCACCCTACCTTGACAACATTTTAACGGGTGTTGTCCCGTTTGTGAAATTCAAATGTCCTACTGTTCATTTGTTAAAATATAAAACAAATTGCTTTTCTGGCGATTCATGTCAACATGAATTATCTATTGGAGCACGTGAAACATTAGAAATAACTGATCGATGAGTCCGAGCAACTGATGAAGGAATCATATAGCCATTTCATTGATCCTGAACCTTGGAATCAGTGCGTCAGTTTATTGAATTGTTATAAACTTATGTCCATGTAATTGAAACTAAGACTGTGGCACATTCTGTTGAATGCAAACAATCTGAAACAAACATTCATCTCGCGCATTCTTGTGCCATAGATTATCATCAGATGCTAGTTTACAGCTATGTTCTGTCTTTCAGTACATCCACAGTGGACAGAGTAATGAGGAAGTGTTCAACTTTTTTAGCGAGCTGTCAGTTGCTCTGAATCACACACAGGGCTTTCATTGAGACCATTCTTTGGTTAATACACATTACCTATTCAGGTAACCGGCATTTATTTCTTATTGGTCGGAAGCCAGTCTTTTATGATTGGTTGACGGAGGTGCTACGTAGACCAATCACGTCTTTAATAATCCATGGGGTAGGAGAAATTCGCAACTGGCGCTAGCACCAACATTTGTTTGTGTGGATTCATTTCTGGGTGGGTGTGTTATACATCCGTGGATAGGGCAACAGCAACGCTCCTCGCGCTCGTCTCGATACCTACGCCTCAATTCGAACCAAAATCCACCTGGATGAAGATAATCCGCTTAGCGGTGTGTACACGCACCACCATCACCACCACCGACTTATCATCACAGTGTGATAGGGCTGGCCGGGCATGCAAATGTCACGTACAAGGCGTGTGTGAGTGCGTTCGTGCTGCCACACGGCCGTTCCTGTGAGACTATAGAAGGTAAACGCGCACGCCCCCTTTCGTCCGCTAGAGGTGCCAGTCACTGGTTCGACGTGTGAAATAAGTAGGCTAGAGCATATGCATACATTCATGCACACACGTGGTTAAAACACCAACACACACACACGCACTGACTACAAAGTGAAAAAATAATCACACATGGATCATATACTCGTTCTTAAACTACACATTCGACAAATCGATCGAGACTCAGCGCGCGCGTTAACGGATTGCACGATACACAATCCATCGAGAGTGACCGTCTCTCGTTTTGTCCGCGATTAGACTGTCGAATTGATCACTTGGTCAGCAAAGGTACTCAGAGTCACTCAGGAATCCGGAGAGTTTGACGTCCGACAGTAGCGTGTCACTCCAATCTGGAGCAACTGACACTGGCCACTGTGAATCCGATAGCACTCACACAATCGGTAGACATTTTTTATCCAACGTTACCAACGTTACGTTGGATGTGGATTTTCTCACTCCAAACACCGCCACTGTGATCGAGTTTCCCCGACCGACCGACAGAGAACACTCGCATATCAACTTTTGTGTAAGTCAACTCCCTGTCGAGACATTTTACGTTTCCGTCATTGTGGTGATTCAACCGAGTGAAAATTTTTTCCTATATCGGCTTTTATCCGTCCTTTACAGTCGTCTTTGAAAACGTGAGTTGTACTTCATTTGCACACATACACACACACGGAGTTAAAATAGGTAGGTTGACTGGGCATCCTTATCTCAATTTGCACTGTTCGAAATGATTGCATAACTGAACTGAGGAGCCGCAAATGGGGTAGGATGGACATGTGTGTTTTGACACTTCTGTGTCGACGAAATTGCAAACATTCGGACGAGGAATACCGACAGTTCAGATTATGTTATTAACAAATTTTATTTTTCATGTGTGCATAACAATGCAATGAGTAAGCAACATAGTGATTTATGACCGGTTGGAATGTCATTCGTGGAATGACTGTAATATCATACCAAAATCGCTTGGAAATGTTGTCTCACTGTAGAAAATGATCATCACTGGGGGGCTGTGAGGTAGATTTCTGTAATTGTCTTTCGCTAATTTTGCATCATTGTGGAATTTTGGGGTATTATCAAAACCGTCAAACCACGTCCATACTTTGCCCGTAGTTCACTGTATAGGGTTCAACACCTGACATATTAATCACATCCAGATTGACTTGGATAACTCAGATGACTCGGATGATGATAATGATGATGACTTGCGGTTCACCAAACAAAGCTTACCACTGATCACAGATATCACACGCGTATATATATATATATATATATATGTCCTTGTGAAGTGTTCCAATACTGTATGAAATAACATTACGTATTGATACGAAAACATGTATCGCTGTTAGGTCGTTTTTTGTAATCCAAATAAATGTATATCATGTGTAGAAAAAAACGAATAATCGCATTTGCCAAAGTGGTGACAGGTGCTAATTGCAAGCCCGGATAGAATCTGAAGCACCGCTGATTGCGTCCGATTTCAGTTTTGTCGTGGAAGATACTAGGCAGAAGCAAAACATCGGTATATGAGTGAATACTGTGAGGAGGCCCTTTACTGTATCCAGACTCAATGCATATGGGTGAATGTGTCAAAAAGGTGTCAATATAGGTTATAATTACATTCTTCGTGTTTCATACTTCTCCCGCCTCCCTGTTCATTTCGATTTATAGTTACCATCTGTCCAATGCAAACGAGGTGTTTATCAACTCAACCTGTCTATTCTTCAATGAATTCGGGTAATGCAATGCATCCAACCGCCTACTTCTATCCAACCACCTATCCCATGTTCCCGTCTGATGTGACCGGCGGATCCTTGCCCAGTACCGATTGTGCAATGCGTTCATCCATGCTTCTCCCACCCACACACTCAATACCGGGATCACATGATTCGGAACATTTCACCCCAATGATAACCAACGATTTGACCGGCACAGTTCGTATGGATTATCCGGATGCTTACAGTCTTCTCACACGAGATCGTATTGGACTGTCGAGTGGAAACATGACCGGGGCACGTCCCGATGGAGCCAAGCCCTATCCATATGGATCCGCATATTCTGTCTATCAGGGAAACGCCGCGACTTCCCCATGTCTTTCAGATCCTTCCTTATCGGGAAGTTATGGTCATTTGGTTGGCAGCGCTGGCGCAATGGACCCCACATCGGACGAGTTTCACCTGAATCGGCGTCCTTCGACCCGGGTCCACGGCACAAATGATGCACAACACATGTTTTATGCCATGTTCCACGAACGGAAATCCGGTCTGTTATCCGAGTTGAATCCGTCGAACGCATTGACGGATCCGAAACACAGCCTGCATTCGCAACGTCATGCGCAATTACCTTCCCATACACCCCCATCCCCACCACCACCACCACCGTTATCATCGTCGCAACAACCGACAACCGCACACACTCTTTCTTCCACAACCGCGCCCACCTCTCCGAGGATGAAAGAGAAATCGAAAAATGCGGCCCGAACGAGACGGGAGAANTACGGAATTCTACGAATTAGCGAAGCTACTTCCACTGCCCAGTGCAATCACATCCCAATTGGACAAGGCCTCGATCATCCGATTGACTACAAGCTATTTAAAAATACGATCGATTTTTCCCGATGGTAAGTCAATCGTCACGATCTTTTTTGAATGATGCACCAAGCTATTCGAGTTCAAGTAAAGTCTATTTGTTTGTTTGTTTAAAGAATGAAATTAAAATGAAACTGATCTGACTGAAATAGGTGTGTATTTTCGAAAGACGACCGTGTGTGGTTAATGGATCCAATGAAGACATAAAATAAGAATTTTGGTTTAATCCCATGCGAATTCTCATGCATCGCGATTTGTGCATTGTTGTTGTGGAATGGATCTCACAACCGGGGAATTTATTTATTCTCAATGTGTTTCACGTTCGGAGTGTCCGGTAATTTGTATGAAAGCTAATAACAATGCACAAACCACAGTGTGAGTGAATTCGAGTGAAGTTGAAGTCAATGGTATTGGATAAACATGATCTTTTGTTTAGAATTGGATTAATAGACGCTTCGAATGTGCAATTCTTCTGTAAGTCGTTCTAAC